TATTAATCAATGATATATTTATTAACTGTAAACGTTTTGACTTTATACCACACATAGTTTTGGGGCTATTGTAAAAAATAATTTTTTAGTCATGTTGGCCTTTGACGAAACCTTAATAAAAACTCCGTTTTGGAAACCCTACGTCAATTAAGTGTTTGAAATCTTTCTTTTTTGCGATTAACAAACGTTAAATACAAGCTTCAGACAGCTAGCTCAATATGACGTTATGCTAGAACTCCTTTAGTCTTGGGTAAAGAAGTCCTGGAGAATTGACACAATATGAGGTTTGCGTCAAAATGAGACGAATCATTACGAAAACCAAACGAACGGGTTTCCGATTTCCGTAATTTGGACTCAAAATCCGTAAAAAAATTGGCGATATCGTCTGAGTAAACAGGACTGCAACAATAAAAAGAATGCAAATATATCAAATTTTATGTTCATTACTTTACTTAAAGATAATTATTAGAGCATCATCGTTATATTTTACTCATTGAATCAATGGATTATGAAAACTCTAGAATATATAAATCTTTACTAATTTCTCCCAAAATAAGAACAACAATATTGAAGTTTAAAAACTAAGGGATTGCTTAATTTGAAGATATAAAAAAAAAGAATAATTTTAGTCCAACCATTATCTTGGAAAAGACTTTCCCTCGAATTGTATAATATAAGTGTTTTATATGGATGGTGATCTGTAATCTAATAAATTATATTTGAAAAAATTACCTCTATGAAAATAAATCAATTGCTCACCTTAAACAATATCGTCAAATACTGTATATCTTTGATCATCATAACATCATATAATTTGATTAACATCATATCACTTCTGTGAAATATTTCATTCAGATCTTGTATTTAATAATTATTACACATGTTAAAAAACTTTCGCTTTCGCTCTAGTTCATTCATTTACTACAGTAAGTGACACTTTTTGCATACTATAGGATAAACAATGTAAATATGAAATAATATTACATGTAGTGACATAATTATCAGAGAAGGAAATCTCTAGTCTGATCAACTATTGAATAAAGAATGACCAGACTTAAGCGGGAAAAAATCTAACCCAGTCAACCCCCCACACACCCCCCCCCAAAAAAATCTAATTCTACCTTTCAAATCCATGACTTTTAAAAACCAAAATAGTAATGTCGACTTCCAGAACACCTGATATATGTGAAGCTGCTGTCTTCGTGACCATACCTGGAGTGACGTCTCAAAGCCCTGATTGTAGTAAATGTGTTCTGACATATATCACATTGTTCTGTGGCGGCTCTGCAGATTTGGTTTGGCTGCATCCATTTTTGTGATCACTTCATGATCAATACTTGATATCGCGATTACTTAACTTAGCGGAACTCTTTGGCGAAGGAGGTAGGAATCGTCTGTTGGGTGGGGGCAATGTGCTTTTCAATACAATGCAAGATCGATCATTGTAGCATTTATAAGAACAGATAAGTAAAAAATCCTGGTGGAATACATCGCTAAACAATCGCTGAACCAGACTAATATATTTTTGAGAAGAACCAAACCTAAATTGTTACATTTTCAACGATATTTTTAATTAAGCTGACTCTTCTCGTTAAATTTTCATTGAAAATCGTCACATTTTTAAGCAGATAAAACATTCTAAACTTTCCTTATTTGACAATCTACTATTTGGAGTTTAATATCTGGCAAAACATCGTCATTTCGGCATTAAATCGTTCGAAACATTCGATTGTCACTACTGTAAACAATGTCATTTGCCCCCAGAAATATACACTTTTCTCGACTCCCCCGCAAAAGAGCGGTAGTAAGTTAGATAACTGCGAGGTACTCATTGGTAGTCGCGATATTACGTATTGCATGAATATGCAAATTGTGAACCACAGGCGCATGCAAACTTTGAACGCCCATGCATTGACCTTTGATGTCTCTTCAAAGAAACTTTCGTGGCGAATGTACCTGGACATATCACACATTGAAATGACTTGATTTGTATGTGAACTGCACGGTCATGTCTCTTTGTATTTGATTATTTGACATTAAAAGATTTTTCGCAATATGTGCATTTAAATTGTTTTTCTTCATTTCCATGATCTCTCATTTCATGGACTAAAAGTATCACTTTCAGTGAGCAGCATTTCGTGCACTTTGTGCACTTAAATTCTTTTCTGCCTAAATTAGACATCTGAAATAGTGTATAACATGAATAATAAGATTTTCAAACTATGAAGAAGCGTAAAAGAATTTATTTCATTATTTATAATCAGGGTCAGTGTAATTGTTGGAGAGAATATTTAAAACCACAATCTGTTTTGGTTTTATCCATGCATCATTAACCAAACACATTTTCAAGTCCAAATTTGCGTGGATAAGATGTAAATGATGCAGACTAATGTGAAACTCAGAATACTTAAAGTTAGTTGAGAGTAAAACGAATTTCAGTCGGCAAACATGTTTTCAATCAGCGTTTTCGCTCTACCGGCACTTGCTTCAAAACAAAAATCGTCGCTAAACGACAATCCTTGCATTTTATTAGACTATAAAATAAAAGAAAAATAAATTGCTCATGGAATCACATTAAAATTTTAATCATTGCCTCTATCGGTTCAACTTACCATGTGTGTGTTGAAGAAGTTTGTATCAAATGCATAACCAGAAATCGATCTCTTTTGATTTCTATACACAATCGTTGGTTGTGCAACTGATCGATTAGCAGGCGTGAAGTAAGATTTCACTTTCCATCGATTTTACATATATTACTGGAGAACAACTACATTTTCAAAACATGGTTTAATAAAAACTCCGTTTTGGAAACCCTACGTCAATTAAGTGTTTGAAATCTTTCTTTTTCGCGATTAACAAACGTTAAACACAAGCTTCAGACAGCTAGCTCAATATGACGTTATGCTAGAACTCCTTTAGTCTTAGGTAAAGAAGTCCTGGAGAATTGACACTATATGAGGTTTGCGTCAAAATGAGACGAATCATTGCGAAAACCAAACGATCGGGTTTCCGATTTCCGTAATTTGGACTCAAAATCCGTAAAAAAATTGGCAATATCGTCTGAGTAAACAGGACTGCAACAATAAAAAGAATGCAAATATATCAAATTTTATGTTCATTACTTTACTTAAAGATAATTATTAGAGCATCATCGTTATATTTTACTCATTGAATCAATGGATCATGAAAACTCTAGAATATATAAATCTTTACTAATTTCTCCCAAAATAAAAACAACAATATTGAAGTTTAAAAATTAAGGGATTGCTTAATTTGAAGATATAAAAAAAAGAATAATTTTAATCCAACCATTATCTTGGAAAAGACTTTCCCTCGAATTGTATAATACAAGTGTTTTATATGGATGGTGATCTGTAATCTAATAAATTATATTTGAAAAAATTACCTCTATGAAAATAAAGCAATTGCTCACCTTAAACAATATCGTCAAATACTGTATATCTTTGATCATCATAACATCATATAATTTGATTAACATCATATCACTTCTGTGAAATATTTCATTCAGATCTTGTATTTAATAATTATTCCACATGTTAAAAAACTTTCGCTTTCGCTCTAGTTCATTCATTTACTACAGTAAGTGACACTTTTGCATACTATAGGATAAACAATGTAAATATGAAATAATATTACATGTAGTAACATTATTATCAGAGAAGGAAATCTCTAGTCTGATCAACTATTGAACAAAGAATGACCAGACTTAAGCAGGAAAAAATCTAACCCAGTCACCCCCCCCCCCAAAAAAAAAATCTAATTCTATCTTTCAAATCCATGACTTTTAAAAACCAAAATAGTAATGTCGACTTCCAGAACACCTGATATATGCCTTAACCCTTTCTCTACCGGCACATTTTACGTGATTTTAGAGACCTTTTGACATGGCATTATTATATCATTTATAACTTTTTTATCCATGGAGGTACTAGGTATAATGCATACCATTTCGTAGGGAATTTCTTAGAGATGATATTTTATGACAATTCAGATACTCAACGATTGACCTTATTAGTAAAAATAGAGGTCAAAGGTCAATTAAGTGCAAAATTTTATGGAATTTTTTGATACTTTTTAATCTTCAAGCTAAATATTTACAAAGATGTATGTTGAAATAGGAAATTTTAGATATACCCACAAAAGGGCATTATACTGTACTTCATGAAACACATAAACTTTTTTTTAAATTCTGCATACATTTCTTTAAAAGCGGTTGCTTAGCAACGCAGAATTTTTCAATTTTCGGGCAGAAATTTTTGTTTTTCACTCATCCTAGACACATTTATGCATCCTAGCACATATTAAAGTTAGATATAATGTCATAAAATTACAAAGGACATAATAGCAGATAAATTTTTCAAAAGTTTTACCTCATTAGAACTATTTTTAGGAGGTCAAAGGTCAAATAAGTGCAAAAATTTCATCATTTTTTTCAACTCTTCTCTATATTTTTGCTAAAATTTTACACAGTAGAGGGTTGCCCGCTTGCCAACCCTTGCTGTCGCTGTGTTCTCAAGAACCCTTGTTGAAAATGCCTTTCATTATTGTGTCTTTCCTGAGTAGATGCTGAAATGAAAAATTCTGAATATATACTCTCAAAAAGGGATCAGAACTGCAATATCCATACATCATTTCAGTTCAAATTTTTGCTTAATGACCTTAAAGTTGTTGCTAAGCAACAGTATTTTCAATTTTTTATACTATATACAATGTACATGTACATGTTTGTTATTTCTCATTCTGGACACATTCTAGACACTTTTTGTATATTCCGTGATGCTGTTTGTAAGATATGGGCCAACATAAATGAAAAAACATTTTTGTATTAAGTATTGATCTTGACACTCTTGTTCTTAGGGGGTCAAGGTCAAATCAGTACAGAATTCTACTTAAATTTGTAAGTATATATCAGTTTTGAAATGTTACAGTCATAGAAAAATCATCTAATAGTTGACTTAAAAAAACGGCGAACGACAAAATTTGCAAGCAAAAATTTAATCTAAGAAGTAAAAATAAACTTGAATGATTTCATTGCAAGATTGTACTGGTATAACAGAGCTTAAGGGGTACAATAAAGAATTGACATGCCATCTTGAAAGGAAATAATAATACATGGCATTGGCAATTAATGCAAAACTGTTTTGTCAATAGGTTGAAAAATGTGATGTTTATGTCCAAATATACAAATCCAGAAATATTGCAAAATGAATTCCAGATCAGACTGATTAAATCTTCCACAAAATGTTGAAGACCAGAGCACTTTTACTTTGTGCCTCCATTCTTTCATCAACTGTCACTTCTCTGAAAGACTGGAGGAAATTCTTCTTTGACTTGTCTGTACAAGGGATCAGCTTCTATACTGTAAAAGATTTAAATATTTTGAAACAGATATGTGAATAAAATTAAAAATGATACAATTAATACATTGATATTATTTTCCATTTGAAATGAAAAATTATAAATGCGATTCAAATAGTTAAATGATATTATTAAGTCAATGTATTAGGACTACAAATTCAACAACCTTGTAGTTAACCATCATGATTGAATTACTGAACCAAAACAAATAGCATATTTGGTAATCTGACTAATACAGGCAGACCTGTATATATAAAGAAAAATTGTGAAGCAGATAGATCTAATTTTAATTAGATGCCATGAAAGTGATGGGACAGTTCAAAATATTTTCAAAATAAGTAAAAATTAATTTGAGATCTCGAATTATACAATCCGTTTCCAAGAATTATCAATTCATTCCTTTGAATTATAATTCGAGATCTCAAATTACGCAATCCAATCCTTCTGATTACTAATTCATTCCCTCAATTTTTTTTCTAGATCTTTCTGCTCTACGATTTTTCAGAATATGCTCAACAATTTCTCTCTCACATGGAGTTGCCACCACTTGTAGGTGGACTGTTCTATACTCGACACTTACGACTTTTGAGGTGTGAGGGATCTTTTTCATGCCAGCACCTACTGCAACAAGGCCCCCTAATTGGTTTTTATAAGTATAATGTAAGATAAGATATGTTTATAGTGTCTTATCAGAAAGACAGGTCTACATGTCTCATAGTAAGATTCGAACCTGCGATGCAAGGATTAATTCCTTACTTCATGATTATAGAACCACTGAACTAGTCTAGTGACTCATGTACCTAGAAGTGTTGACTATTAGCCATCAAGTGGCAATAAGGAATTCTAACTGCAATAAAATTAACTTACAGCTGATAACTAAGCACCTATGTCCTCCACATCATGATCTTTTCTGTGCATGATGGCCAGTGGTGGGATTAGCAAGAAGCACTTCACAGATGAAAGTTCTGACGATTTGGTACCAGCACAAAACACACATGCTAAAAAAATTTATGAGTTTGTGTTAATTATGTCAAGTTTCATTTTTCTTTGAAGTGGTAATAAAAACTTTCCTACTTCAAAAACAACCCAAAAATAAGTCAAATTTGTTTGAACATCATCACAAAACAGGGTTTAGATGTTCAGGCCAACAATATAAAAATTGATTTGTTTGATGTACACAGAGGACCTGTCAAAATTGCCCCTTTGCAATAATTTTTTCAGCACTTTAAACTTTGAATTTATTTTCCTTCTTAAATTTACTAAAATTGTTTCATTTTAAAGCAAAGGTTTATAATTTCTATAGACTGCTTCTTGACTGATTGTTTTTCATGTTTTCATAGCAATACACTTGTGAAGCTATCAAATGTGTACTGTTAAGAAATCTCAGTTACCAATTTTTCAGCAGTGTAAACCAACCCAAAATTAACAAATTACCTACCCATCTTGAAAAATGTGGGTCGGAGTACATCGATCAAAAATATTTCATTGATCAGTCAACACATTATTTCATATTGAGAAAACAGTGACATTGTATTGTAAACAATTTTGTCATCGAAAAAAAAAAAATTATGTGATCGTTGAAAGAACTGAAAAGTATCATATGTCGGTTACCGACTATGTAAAATCACCGAACGGCTTCATATTGATTACATGCACGTGTGTAGCTGGAAACCAATCTATACTACTACAGTATATATACACGTACATAGAGGTCCTTGGAAGTCTACAATGTCTTTTCATTTCTATCTATGTACTGTAAAACACTTTTAAACTTTTCAATCAATACTTACTTACATCTAATGCCAAAGAAAAGACCAGTCATATCTGATGAATTGACGTGTTTTACATCGTAAATCCATGGTGTTGTTGTTGTTTACTGCAACAGCGGAAACACGTGTTTGTCTCGATTAATATCAACTCATACCGTAATGAGTCGTGTGAATGCGAGAATTTGTATTAAAACATACTTGTTTCAAAGTTGTTGTTTTTAATTTATTGTAAATTTCATGTCAGTATATGTTTAATAGTACATCATATTAGGAATATATTTTAAAGCAAACAGCAATAAAATATTTTGTTTTTTGACGCAGTGTTAGGCTTTGGGAATCAGCGTTTTTCTTTTTATCAACAATGAACTAATAGCACGTTTCATAAATAAACAAAAAAGACTACATTTCTCTGAAAGGTGTAAAGATGATTACTATTATTTTAAAACAATTATTTTTTTTATACAAATCATCCATTTAAATAAAAATATTTAATTAAATTTAATAGTACTAAACACGTTGTTCCGATTGAGGCGCAACGAAAACGACCTTGACGTTAAATATAGATTACACTCGAATTTTCTACAAAAAATTACGCAGAGGTTCAAAACTCAAACTATGCTAATTCAGAAAATACGGAACATAAAGAGACAAGTAAAGGCTTGTTGAAATGGAAATTTTTTCTACTTTTACCAGCTGTATTTTGTTTTCCCTATTTCAATATAGAAATAAAGGTAAAACTAACGTTAATTTGAATATTACGAATAAAACCCAGAAAAATCACATGCGTGGAAGAAAATTCTTGTTTTTATAAAATATCTAAAAGTAAAACCAATAATTTTTACATATTTTAAAAGCAGAGAAAATTTCCCTTTTAAACATATTAATTTTTACTTAATGATTTAATCTAGAAAAAATATATATATCGTTGGGAAAATCGTCCTTGCTTTGGAAAATAGCGTCATTTTTAAAAAGTCACGAATGTCTTTAAAACGTAAAATCTATTCATTACCGATTTTTAAGGTTCGAAATTTTTACAGGGTCTAAAAGTAGAGAAAATTTCCTAAAAGATGATATATAGATTAAAAACCTTTATTCTATTATTGAAAAGATATGGAGATCCTGTTATCGCGATGTCGTGTTTTAACGCGCTATCGGTCATATTGACCGATGCGGTAGAGAAGGGGTTAAGGTATTTATAAGTAAATATTCGCACACTAATACAATAACAAATCCCATATCATGATTAAATAATACCCAAGGACAGAGCAGAGGAACAAAGGAAATTAGCATTTCCACTTTAATTTATTCAGTATGTGCCCTATACCACAGATATTCCTGACCCTGTGGCCGCCACACATTTCACAGTTTTTGGTAAAGGCACCCTTGTTCATCATAAATGTTCGATTAATACTAACAAAACACATATTTCAAGGTATTTATTCATTTCCAATATATTATCATAAGACCCTCCGTACTCATGCCAAAAGGACTTGAAATTCACATTTCTAGAAGAAGCACCCTTAATCAAGTTTGCTCTTCATAACTATATATGTATGAGACTAGATAATCAGGATAACAAACCAGTAAAAAAGAAGGTATTTTTTGTCAAAGAAATAATGCAATTTTACTAAATACTAAGTAGAGCCCAGCCATATCACCAAAACCCCTGACCCAGGGACCTTAAAAATTGACGACATTGGAAGAGGAACCCTTCTTCGTCATACCAATGCACAGGGTTTATTGATTTAATACCTAGAAGCGGAGGAGAAGAATTTCAAGAAGGATATGGAAATAACGAACAGTATTCAATCTCAACGTCCATTAAACAAATATACAAAATAAGAGCAGAGCAAACACGGACCCCCGAAACCCCCGAAATAATTTATGCATTTTAACTACATAATTTATAAAGCCCCGCCCTCACACCAGAACACCTGAAACAGGTGCCATGAACATCACAATTTTGGAAAACACAACCTTTTTCATCAGGATTATGTACATAGTTTATTGGTTTAATACCCAGGAGCAGAGTAGAAAATTTTAAAAATATTTATGCATTTTCAAAATATAATCATTAGAGCCTCGCCCTAACACCAGAGGGTGCTGATTACAATGATGCCAACAGTTTGACTGCTCTATGTCTAGGAATAAAGAATTTCTTTTGAAAGATATCTCCATGTGAACGCTGAGCGAAGCTAATTCAAATTAAATTTGCGTGAGGCCAGAATGAAGTCAAAGGGCACATGTTGGTGGTTAGATAAAGGTAACAGTGCTGTAATTGGTTCAAAAATAAAGGAAAGGTATGTTTATCACTAAATGGATACCTTTATCCTGCCTCTGATAAAATTGTGACATTTCACTTGTTGAGAAGAATACTGCATGAAACGATGTTATGATGTCCACCTACCTCATATTTCTAATTAGCCCCCTTCAAATGACCTACCAACCACACCTCAAATCAATATGCCCCCTCCACATGACATACTGCACAGATCATTGTTGTTTTCATTTGAACACACAAAGCACCTAATTACTGACGTCATATTAACATTAATCAATGTCAAAATGTAAACGATTTGCTAAGTTAAATAAGCTTTATCAAAATATGTTCGACAGGATAAATTCATTATGTAGACACACATAACTAATAGTAGCCACTATGATTATGATATCAATTTGATAGCCCTGCATACATGATGACGTGATTTACAAATGATGTCAAAATAGCCTTACTAAAAACAGCCGGCTTTTTTGTAGAAATAAAATTTCATTCTCATAAGTTTACATCGCATTAGCTGTCGTGTGAACGCAATTTAATTCACATTAGTTTACTTCGCATTTATTTACTGCGAATTTAACTCTCCATGTGAACAGGGCATTAATTGATTTCAAGTCATTTTTGTACAATTCTAAAACTTGCTTCAGTTATTTCAAGTGTCTTTAACATTTATTTCAGTAATTTAAGCCGTGATGCAATTATAAAGTGAACGCATTTTGTCCCGATAACTACTGTTAAATTATTATTTTATTTTGTAAAGCGCCACTCTTTCTCCGATTTAGAATTAGACATATTCACCGATTATTCATTCTTGTTTCCTGATTCTGACAATGATACATTATCATTATTTATCAATAGTTATTTCGTAGATTAAATAAAAGCATAAACACAGCCATATTTAAGTGTGAAAAATGTTATCTCGCAACTCTTTCAATTGTGGTATACTGCTTAAAAGTTCATATACTCTGGACATGCTGATCCCACTCTCAACAAGGCATTCTTTAGGGCAAGTCCTCAATATCTCTTTCATAGATGCATCATCCACATTATGTACCAAGCCTGGGATTCCTTCTTGGAGCATTAAATGCACTTTTGGCGAGCCTACGTCTAAACCAATGATCCCAGGGCCACCAGAAGCACCATGAGTTGTAGATTCTGAGCAATGGAACAGTACCTTTTCCTTCTTGAACATAGAATCATAATCATTTTTAACTTGTTTATGGTCAAAATTAGGATAGTTCCTCTTCCACCATGAAAGTGCTTTACAGTGAGTTTGAAAGGCATCACATTCCGAAATCAACGGACATGTTCTGTCAATTATCTGTTCATTGCCATGAGAGGTTGGGTGACCAATAATGGTAACATTTTCTGGTCGCTTGCGAGACATGTCCAAAATAAATGGCTTTGGTAAATCTGTCCAATTAATTTCTAATAAAGCAACGTCATCTTCTTCCTGTTTGCTGTAGAATGGAATGTCATATTTCAAACGATAGGGTTCATATTTAACGTGTTCTCTTGTGCGACCAAAATATACATAAATAGGGTTGTCCTCGATGAATTTCATGGACTTCTCTACAAATAAATAACAATGATTAGGAAATGTAATAGTGAGCAATGTGCTTTAGCTATGTGAAAAGAAGTATACTATTAAAGAAGATTAATATTAAAGAAAATTCCGCTGTGTTCCATGGAAAATGTTTCTGGAAATTAAAACCATCTTTACAAATGAAAATGAATAAATATATTTGGTATATTTTCATGTTAAAACAATTTATACAATTTGTAAACCACGCCCTCCGAGTAACATTACATAGCATAGTATTATAGTATAAAAACGATTTCAGTGCATTAGGTTTATTGTGATTTTTTCATTTAAATACATATTAAATACATTCAGTACTATATTAACAAAAGATGTAACATATTTTTAGGGTAATATAAGGATGAGAAATTGTTATCCCTTGAAAACTTTTGTCGACTTTTGGCGACCTTGTCTTCACCTCAGCAAGCCACTGTCAGAAAAGTTGAAAATTAAGTGAAAGATTCATTGTAAAGTGTATATTCATGTGTTACAGAAGGTGGTCAAACTTTTTATTGAAATATAAGGAGATAACAAACAGTCATAAGCAAATTCTTTCAAAATCTTCAACGAACCAGAAGTCTCTGTCGAGACTGAAGCTCTACTGGTTTGTACTTATAGCAAAGGAAAGGTTCTTAAGAAGTTGGGAATTGAAACTTTACCACAGCAATAAAAAGAATAATGATCCTTGATTAAGTCTCTTTATGTTCTTAGTATAGTACTTGCATGCCACATTGTATTATAATCAGACTTAAACTGCAGGAGGAGTAGCATTTTGAGATTTTTTAACAGAAATTTGTAATTTTAGTGACCATGGCAACACCGTTCATCGAAATCAAAAACCAATACAAAGAATAACGTATCTTAGTGTAGTCTACTTGTGTGCCAAGTTATATTGAAATCTTGTGTGCATAGAAATTTCTATCTTTAGTGAAATCAAAAACTGATAAACAGAATTATGTATCTTAAAAAGTTATATTGAAATCAGGTAGGAGGAGTAGCATTTTGAAAGAATTTCACAGAAATTTCTATTTTTAGTAACAAGGCAAAACCGTTCATCGAAATCAAAAACTGATATACAGAATTATGTATCTTAGTGTAGTCTACTTGTATGCCAAGTTATATTGAAATCAGACCAAAACTGTAGGAGGAGTAGCATTTTGAAAGAATTTCATAGAAATTTCTATCTTTAGTAACAATGGCAATACCGTTAATCGAAATCAAAAACTGATAAACAGAATTATGTATCTTAGTGCAGTCTACTTGTGTGCCAAGTTATATTGAAATCAGACCAAAACTGTAGGAGAAGTAGCATTTTGAAAGAATTTCACAGAAATTTCTATTTTTAGCAACAACGTTAACACCGTTAATTGAAATAAAAAATCGATACACAGAATTATGTATCTTAGTGTAGTCTACTTGTGTGGTAAGTTATATTGAAATCAGACCAAAAATGTAGAAGGAGTAGTATTTTGAAAGAATTTCACAGAAATTTCTATTTCTAGTAACCACGGCAACACCGTTCATCGAAATAAAAAACCGATACACAGAATTATGTATCTTAGTGTAGTCTACTTATGTGCCAAGTTATATTGAAATCAGACCAAAACTGTAAGAGAAGTAGCATTTTGAAAGAATTTCACAGAAATTTCTATTTTAAGTAACAACGGCAATACCGTTAATCGAAATCAAAAACTGATACACAGAATTATGTATCTTAGTGTAGTCTACTTGTGTGCCAAGTTATATTGAAATCAGACCAAAACTGTAGGAGGAGTAGCAGTTTGAAAGATTGTTTACAGACAGACAGACAGACGGACAGACAGACGGACGGACGACGGACGCATTACTATCGCATAAGCTCTTCTGGTCTATGACCAGTAGAGCTAAAAAAACTACTGGGTCAGAAGATATTATACCTATGTGAAATATTCAGTACATAGTGTGCATTCCATTTGATAGATGATGGCACGAAAAAGATCCCACACTTCTCAATGGCCCTTAGTGGCAAATATAGATTAATAAATACAGCCCTCAACCACAAATTGTGATAGTTTCATTTGAGTGAAAAATTGTTCAGGTTATTAAAACAATAAACGATCATTAACAAAATTGGTTTGTAACCAATTAAAGCCCGTGTTACAAGCTACATAGGAAATAATGTGTCTTTTTTCCCAACATAACATCTGAACAGCAATTAGGTTCTCTCCTTGAGATTATTTACAAAATGTTCGGATAGATAATGTATGACTATATGATGTGCAGAAAAATCCTATCTTTTCTATAAGGTATTTGGATCATCCATTAATTTTGTATGCAGTAATAGAATGTGTGTCATTTATGTGAAATGTTACCTTTGGCACATGAAAATCCTGTCTCCCCCAAAACACTGAGTAGGTCGGTGAGCAGTAATTGATAACTAGTCTTTTTCAGCCATTCATGGACCCCATTTTTTAATTTCTCTTCAATATCTCTCCCGGATTCCCCTACTTGCAGTTTTTGCAAAAACCTTGAATAATTAATGCTGCGATGTGGATCAGACTGGGCGTTTTCTACGATATTATCGATGTACATTTCTAGACAAAATAGAATCATAAAACAACCTTTATTAGTCTTACCAACTTTGACTACTTTTGCACTTGCTTAAAAGGTGTTTCTATCCTCAAAATTTTAATGGTTCAAAATACAAAAATTCCATTTATTTTCATTTAATATACAAATGTAGTTTAAATTTCCAATTATTACAAAAATTTATAGGTTGCAATGTTAAATATTTAAGATTGGAGACATAAATAAAACAGAAGTACATGTATACATCAGCATTAAAATGTTGTACGTGTTTTGTAAACAATATTATAAAATTTATGTAAAAACTTGTTCAAAATCATATGCTGAAAGTTCCGAAATACTTGCCACTTATAAGATATTTTTGAATTGTGAATATAATATCAGAGAAATTATTCAAAATTAAGAGTACAATATAAAAAATGCCTGAATGAAGAAACTTGAGAAGGAGTTATTGCCCTTGTCAACATTTTTAGACTATATGATTGATTAAATAAATAAAATATACATTTTAAAAAATCTTTTACTAAACAATATTTACCATGACACCTATTGCAAAGCATTCTTCCAAAAAATATTGTGCTATTGGGTATGAAATAAAATTAATCTAAAAACAGTTTTTTGCAAAAACCTATGAAATCATAGGAGGATGGGAATATTTTCAAGAGATAAAAATAGTACAAAAATATACAGTGTTTTTGTATGGCAGTAATCATTTGAAGAATGTGAAAGATATACAATTCATGGAAAAAAAAAAAGCTAAAAAATGTTTTGATCATACTAACCATAAGTTTTTCTTATCACATGAAATGCTGTCATCAGATAACGACTTCCAACCCTGAATGCGGTACCACCTGTCCCATCACTAAACACCAAATGACCAACACTTTTATGCCATTCTCCACAGAATAAGGTTTCTGGTTCTTTACTCCGCTGAGAGTTATCAATTGGCTTTTGAAACTTTCCTGAGGCTGAATCTGAAAAAAAGTGATCCACTGAATCACTAATAATACATCAACATTATGATTGCTTACCAAAAAATTTAAATTGGGTTAATTTTGATAGTTTTGGAAAAACCAATCATGTGGAAATACATGAAGTAAAGAGTTCTTGCAGAATATGCAACACACTTTAGTAGAATTGAAATTGGTTTAGCGGATCCAGAAAACACTAACAAGAGGCCCCTGGGACACATCCTTCACCTGAGTAGTTCTGACCATTCTGTTCTTTACCAGATTTCTCACCCTTGTAACCGATTGTGACCCCACCCTACCCCACTGATCATAATTTAGACAATTTAAAATCTAATTGTACCCCATGATGCTTTCACATAAGTCGATTTGTTTGTCTGAAACCTTAATAATTACAACAACAGGCCCATGGGACACATCCCTCACCTGAGTAGCTCTCACCATTTTAACAAGATTTCTCCCCTTGTAATACCTATTGTGACACTGCCCTTCCCTACGTGACAATTTAAAATCTAAACAATCCAAAGATCCTTTCACATACGCTTCAGCTCATCTGGCGAAGTGGTTCTTGAGAAGAAGATTTTTAATATTTTTCCCTATATATTTCTATGCAAAATTTTGATTCCCTATTGTTGTTCTGTCCTACACTCGGGGTCATGATTGAATAATTTAGAATTTACCCCAGGATGCATCCACTTAAGTTTCAGCTTTTCTGGCCCGGTGGTACTTGAGAAGATTTTTTTATGACCTCGCCCTGTTTTTGTCTTTTCTTGATTATCTCCCCTTGTCAGGGACATCGTCCTTCATTTTAGCAATTTTAACTTCTCTTTACCAAAGGATGCTTTGTACCAAGTTTGGTTAAAACTGGCCCAGTGGTTCTTGAGAAGATGACGAAAATGTTAACAGGCAGCTAGACAGCTAGACGGACAAAATGTTATCATAAAATTTCACGTGGTTGGAAGAGATTGTCACAAAATAACCTTAACTTGTTATCATTTAAGAGTAAAGTCGACAATAAAAAGATGCTTGAGTTTCTGAATGACAATATCAATGTTATTTTTGGAGACCAGGTCTTCCAACAATCTATTGGAATTTCCAGGGATAACAATTGTACCCTGTTAACAGCAGACCTTTTTTTGTATTCATATAAAGAAGAATTTGTGCAAATTTTTATGCGTGAAAAGAAGAAAGAGGCCCATGGTCCACATTGCTCCCCTGAGCATTGTGGCTAGGAAAAAAGCAAAAATCAATCCAGTTTCGAAAAGCTTCAAAGCATGTGGTCCCATCCTACACCTAAAAATCATAGCGGGGGTTTTTACTAACTTATTTCTATGACTTATTGTGGCTTTTCCCCATAAGTATGAACGTTCATTTTTGCCCCACCCTATCATCGGGGGTCATGATTTGATAAAAAACCAGAAGTCTCTGTCGAGACTGCAGCTCTACTGGTTTGAACTTATAGCAAAGGAAGAGAAAAGTACTTAAGTAGCTGGGATTTGAAACTAAATAGAAAAATGATTGTTGATAAAGTCTCTTTAGGTTCTTAGTGTAGTCTACTTGTGAGCCAAGTTATACTGAAATCAGACCAAAACTGTAGGAGGAGTAGCAATTTGAGAGAATTTCACAGAAATTTCTATTTTAAGTAACCACGGCAACACCGTTCATCGAAATCAAAAACCGATATACAGAATTATGTATCTTAGTGTAGTCTACTTGTGTGCCAAGTTATACTGAAATCAGACCAAAACTGTAGAAGGAGTAGCATTTTGAAAGAATTTCACAGAAATTTCTATTTTTAGTTACCACGGCAACACCGTTCATCGAAATCAAAAACCGATACACAGAATTATGTATCTTAGTGTAGTCTACTTGCGTGCCAAGTTATACTGAAATCAGACCAAAACTGTAGGAGGAGTAGCATTTTGAAAGAATTTCACAAAAATTTCTATTTTTAGTAACCAAGGCAACACCGTTCATCAAAATCAAAAACCGATACATAGAATTATGTATCTTAGTGTAGTTTACTTGTGTTCCAAGTTATACTGAAATCAGACCAAAACTGTAGGAGGAGTAGCATTTTGAAAGAATTTCACAAAAATTTCTATTTTTAGAAACCACGGCAACACTGTTCATCGAAATCAAAAACCGATAAACAGAATTATGTATCTTAATGTAGTCTACTTGCATGCCAAGTTATACTGAAATCAGACCAAAACTGTAGGAGGAGTAGCATTTTGAAAGAATTTCACAGAAATTTCTATTTCTAGTAACCACGGAAACACCGTTCATCGAAATCAAAAACCGATACACAAAATTATGTATCTTAGTGTAGTCTACTTGCACTTGCGTGCCAAGTTATACTGAAATCAGACCAAAACTGTAGGAGGAGTAGCATTTTGAAAGAATTTCACAAAAATTTCTATTTTTAGTTACCACGGCATCACCGTTCATTGAAATCAAAAACCGATACATAGAATTATGTATCTTAGTGTAGTCTACTTGTGTTCCAAGTTATACTGAAATCAGACCAAAACTGTAGGAGGAGTAGCATTTTGAAAGAATTTCACAGAAATTTCTATTTTTAGTAACCACGGCAACACCGTTCATCGAAATCAAAAACCAAAACACATAATTATGTATCTTAGTGTAGTCTACTTGTGTGCCAAGTTATACTGAAATCAGACCAAAACTGTAGGAGGAGTAGCATTTTGAAAGAATTTGACAGAAATTTCTATTTTTAGTAACCACGGCAACACCGTTCATCGAAATCAAAAACCGATACACAGAATTATGTATCTTAGTGTAGTCTACTTGTGTGCCAAGTTATATTGAAATCAGACCAAAACTGTAGGAGGAGTAGCATTTTGAAAAATTGTTTACAGACAGACGGACAGACGGACGGACGCCGGACGCATTACTATCGCATAAGCTCTTCTGGTCTCTGACCAGTAGAGCTAAAAATGAATCAAGTGAACACTACCTAAGGACGCTTCCTTATAAAAATGACCCATCAAGGTCATCTTGTTCTTCAGAAGAAAATTTTTAAAGATTTTTCCTATGTATTCTATGTAAAACTTGGTCATCAACTGGAGCCCCACCCCACCTCCAGGGGTTATGATTTGAGCAAAATTGAATCAATACTACCTGGGTATGCTTCTTTATAAATATGACCAATCATGGCTTTGTTGTTCTTGAGAAGAAGATTTAAGAAAAAAAACATATTTCTATGTATTCATATCTTAAGCGCCGGTCGGCCATTGTGCTCCCACCCTACCCCCAGGGATCATGATTTGAACAAACTTGAGACAACACTTCCTGAGGATACTTCCACATTAGTTTCATCTTTACCTACCAAGTGGTTCTTGAGAAGAAGGTTTTTGAAACATGCCACCAAATTTCACTATTTCCTAATCATCTCTCCTTGAAGAAGGAGGAGGCCCTTAATTTGAACTTACTTGAATCCCATTCATCCAAGGATGATTTGTGGCATGTTTGGTTGGAATTGAAATTGGCCAAGTGGTTCTAGAGAAGATGTGAAAATGTGAAGAATTACAGACGGACAGACAGAGGGACAACAGACAAATTATGATCAGAATAGCTCACATGAGCTTTCAGCTCAGGTGAGCTAAAACATTTGCTGTAGCTTTCAACTCGACATTTAGATACATCGATGATGTATTGTCAGTTAACAATTATTTCCATTCTTGTGTCTATACAATTTATCCGAGTAAGATTGAGGTAAAAGAAACCACAAAGTCTGGCACATCTTTTTCATATTTGGATATTTTACTTGAAAAAGACATTAATTTAATGGTAATCTAACAACCAATTAATTAAGATCTATGATAAACGTGTTTACTTTAATTTTTCTTTTATCAACTTCCAATACTTTTGCAGCAATATACCTTCATCACCTGCTCTACGTATCAACAATTTCTAAAACGAGGTAAATTATTGCCAACCAAGTTGATGAAACAAGAACGTCAGCAGTCTTCTTTAAAGTCATCATTTCATAAGTTTTACGGTAGATACAATGATCTTGTCAGCAAATACAATTTATCATTGAGTCGTCAAATGCTGACGGACGTTTTTCATTCCGTTATTTCCTGATCATGACAAGGAGCACACAGCTGCTGTGACCGGTCGGCAGGGGATACCTGAGGGTGATTCCATGTCAATATGACTTAACCTAGTTTTGCTGACTTTAAGATTTTTAATTTTTTCTCTATATATTCCTGTGTAAAGCTTTAATTCCCATCATTTGAAGAAACTGAAATTGATACTGCATTAGAATTTATCCATATCAATATGACTAATCCTGGCTTTTATGTTCTTGAAAAGATTTAAATATGTTTTCCTAATTATTCCTACATGTATTTAAAACTCTGATCCCTCACTGTGACCTGACATTACCCCCAATGGTCATCATTTGAACACATTTGAATATTCCTTTAAATAAAGAATGTATCCTGCAAGTTTAATATTTTTTAGCTAAGTTGTTCTTGAGAAAACAATTTGAAAAGATTTCTCGAAAATTTTCACTCTTTCGTTATCATCTTCTTTTGGAAGAGGGCGAGGTTCTTCATTTGAATTATTTTACATCTCCTTACTCAAGGATTTTTATGGCAAGAATAGCTGAAATTGGCACAGTGGTACTAGAAATTTGTAGAGATGAAGTCAAAAATATGAAAAGATATTATTTCTGCACTACTACACCATGACCAAGACACGATTGGATGAACTGACAAACGAAAAAGTGATCATTGAACATTTTTAAAGTTCAGATAAGTATATGTATACATTTACCAAATAAAAAGCCTTTAAAATCTTCATTTCAATCATCACAATGAAGTAGAAATTTATATTATAAAAATACAATTTTAACTATCTGAAAAAAATCACACAGGACAAAAAAAAACGTATTTTCTAAAATATTGAATTTCAGAGCATTAAATTATCTATTTTTGTTTAGCATGTTAAGAGATTAAGAAGAGTTTAACTCAGTCGCCATATCTCTATTTGTAGTTCCTTACCTCCTGCATCAAGTCTGTCAATAGATGTCAGTGATAAACTTTTGTGTGCTTCTGTATCTTTTAAAAGATTCTGGAAATGATAACATATTTTAGTCAATATGAATTCAAAATAGATCAATGTTTGATAGATGCTCCCTGATTGTAGGTAACATAATCACGTCTAAACTTATGTAAAGGAGCCAACTCATCTGCTAAAAATTTACTCATTTTTGTCAAAATTCTGGGACATTGCAGATTTACAAAGCCTGTATTTAATTTAATGCCTGCACTCTTAGATAATTTTTGAAGGGGATGAAAGCAGTACGTTTCTACGTTATATTGAGCTCGTTGCCGGCATGGAGCAGTGGTTAGAGCGTCTGCACTAGAGTCGCAAAGTAAGGTGGTATTCTTTATGTCATGAGTAGTCTCCCACTTTGAGACGTGGAGACTGCTCCTTCGGATGAGACCGTTTGAACCTACGTCTCGTGTCACAGTACTAAGTGCTGGCACAAAAAGACCCCTCACAGCTCATTGGCCGTAAGAGCCAAGTATAGGTCAGAATTTGTAGCCCTCGAACGGCAAGTGGTGGAGTCTCCATATGAGTGGTAGTGTCTCCAAATTCTTGAGAGGGGCGTTAATCAACAACAAACAATCAATCAATCAATGAATTAATGTTCGAAACGAGTCATAAGGAATTGGTCAGTTAATTGGTATATGGTCAGGACCATTCTAGGGAGTTAATGAAACTGTGTTATTTCATCATTTGAACCACATTTAATTGAAAATTTTATGAAATAAAGTGAATTCATATTAATTTACAATGCAGAAAATTCTTTCAGGTTACTGTGATATCACAAATTTTCGTATGGGGGTTTGGGGTTAATTTTCGTTATTTCAAGGTCTGCAGAGAATCATGAATTCATGTCCACCACGAAATGTATAATGTTACATACAAAGAAGTACTCAAAATTCTTCACCCATGAATTCAAATCCCCCTCAAACGAAGAATGTTTACTCAAACCACCCAAAATTACCCTATGAAAATATGTAATTTGACAGTACCTCCCTCAGATTGATTTTGAAATATAGATTATTAGCATTAATAATAGCACATGAGTGTAAGTTCACAAACATAGGACTTAATTTACAAATGTTATCACAATAGCATTAGTTTAAATATCATCAATCTTCAGTTCATATAAATTGTCCTGTGAAAAGGGGCAGTTTATATTATATTGCAAAATACTTTGCATTAATCATGAATTGTATCTATTTTTTTAAAAATGAGCTTACGTATTAACAGTGAAAATTTACAAGGAATTTCTAAGAGAAATCAGTATGAATATAATTCTTCTTTAATCATCCAAAAATTCGCAAAATTTAAATGAAAAAGCTAATATTATTTTATACGCGTATATGATATATGAAATCTATGCATGAAATTTAATTTTTAACTTTGTCGTAAAATCTAATAGTGTTTAATTGTTCTTTTTATTATTATTAATTATAACATAAACAGACTTCTAACCACAAAGTAAGTTTAAATTCATATTGATACCTTTTCCCAGTATCCCAAAGTCATCTGTATATTAATCACATGTTTCTCCTGAAGTTGACACTTGCACTGAATTTCTTTCGTCTTGATTTTGGACAGCTCACTTGCAAGGGTGAAAGATAGATCTCTCTCATCACAAATAATATTTTGACATTTGAATCCTCTGAGGAATATCTTAGTGCCAATGAATGTTTCTGTCAATTTTTCTATTGCTTTATCAATGGAGTCTCCAATTCCATTTGATACATCGTTCTCTACAGTCAATGGTTTGATTCTCATCACTTGCAACTGAATATCGTCATTACATATGCCAACAACAACAGTGTGTTCATTGTGATCAAACACTGCAGCTGTTTGATAAAGACATGGACTTCCTTCATTATCTTCATCTTTTGCAACACTC